CAGGGGGCTACATCGAAAGCCATGAGGCCTCCCCTTGTATCGGCAGTGACGATAACTCGGTGTCTGAAGATAGTGCTATGGGCCAGTGGGGAAAGATCTTCATGGAAGGAGGTCGGAAGCTTCAACGACCATTCTCTGTTCTTGAAGATAATGTCCAAGTTGAGAGCATGAAGGAAGCAGGGTTCGTAAATATTGAGGAAGAAGAAATCAAGGTGCGTACTACATCATACTATTCATGTAACTCATCGATTCTAACCAAAGCCAGGTGCCCATCGGCGGATGGCCTGAAGATCCCAAGCTCAAAGAGGCTGGTCAGTATTTCCAGGCTGCAATCCTGCAAGATGTCGAAGGCACTCTCACGTTCATCGCGAACCTTTTGGGGTGGAGTAAAGAAGAGATCCACGTGTTTGCCGCCAGGTATCGTCGTGAGATACGATCAAAGAAGGTCCACGGGTACTTCAGGGGAAAGGTGGTTTGGGCGCAAAAGCCACTCGTCAACTGATAGTCTAGCTGTAATTTAGTCTGCAATGCATGTAGCAAAATAGATGTTATTTCTATTTCTGATGACAGACCCCCACTATTCTCGGAGCTACTCATCGCCAGTAGCAAACTCTCCCTTTGCAATCTTGTCGCTAAGCGCCTTATTGGGAGTAAAGTAAGATGAGAAGTCCTCCCGTGCTTCCAGTAACAGGTCTACTACCATTCTTCCAAAGACAATTTCTCCAGCTGGGTTCAGATGCGTTTTATCGCCTTCTCCCCAGTTATAACGTTGCGCATTCTCGTTACCAATGGCGTTGACGTAGTCAGTGCTGGCTCTATTGAGTTCCAGATATTGGGCCCCGACATCTCCAGCAGCTGCAATGGTCTCAGCAGCCCACTCCTTGAGGTTCTGCACGACCTCGCCGTTTTGGAACGTACGACGCGTGAGCGAAGTGATAAAGATCTGGTGCTCTTGTTAGTACAAACGGAAGCTTGCAGATTAGATCGAAGACCTACTGGTGTTCCGCCAGCCGCTTTGATCTGGTTGCCAATGTCGACCAGGTTGGCATGGAACTCATCCAGCTGCATGACCTTCTGATCATTGTGACCAAATTGAATTGTCACGACAGGCTCAAAGTCCGCCTTTGCCACACCAACGTCTTTAATGAGAGTGTCCCAACGACCATTGGACTTCCAAGATACAGTAGTTGAGCCACTGACACCTCGATTGTCGCCTTTAGCTGGGGCGTTGAGGTATGATAAGAAGCCATTACCCCAGCCACCGTCCACGGCGACGGTCGAGTCACCAATGAGGAAGAATTGTGGTGGTTTGGCCGCTCGGGCAACAGGGCTTGACTGGACAGAGCCAATGATGGTGCATACCAGACCCGCAAAAGAGAATCTCATTTTGACCGTTTCTTGCTAGGCTTGAAGTTAATAGTGATGGCAGCTGGACAAAAGGATTTCATGAACTCTCAAGTGAAGCAGAAGTAGTATACTCGTAGATGGGCTAAGATCAGCTGAATATCTATTTTCATCATTCGGTCAGGTACTGGTAGTTTATATCGTGGGCAGTACATCATGTACCAGGGTTATGGTAATGCATCTTCGCGGGGTCCGCTATTCTCGGTGCAATGATACCACGAAGTCGCATATAAACGCTGTATACATCGATGTCGCCATGCCTTGTCGATGCATCGGAGCGAGATATGCCGCAGACATATTTGGAAAGATCGACATTAACTTCTTTCTAAGTAGTGGAAGAGATATTTCCAGCGGGGATCCTAGCTGTAGATCATGGACTGTTCCGATATTATGGCGGCATGCGCAACCCCCCTGCTAGGGGCGAAAAGAAAACTCAGGACATTGACCCTCAGCGATGAAAGTATTTAGGTAAATCTACCCGAAGCTTAGAGGACTTTTTGCTGGGTTTATTTTAACATCCTGTCAAAGCCCGATGTTTTCTTGCTCCCTGGGGCCTTGCTGCAGCGGCCCCATGAACTAATATGGCAGCTGAACGTTACTAGAACGTTGACGAAACTCCATTAACAAGTATGTGCATTCCACTCAGAATACAAAGGCTCTCCTGTCATTACGCGTTCAAGCCCAAAGCACATCCGTAATCTCCTCAAACAAATTCGCCGCCCAAATTGCATCATAGTCAAAATGGGGCCGAGATGATACACTGTTCCCCTCCCTCTGTACGATTTGAGTGCTAAGTGCGGTCACATCATCCGATATCTCAATATGCTCCGCTTGTCCTTCATCGTCCGATAGTTTCTCGTCCAGCTCAATGACCCTCGGCAGACCAGCAACACTTTCAGATGCTCGACGCTTCCGAGGCGTGTACAGAGTTGTCGCAGACAAGTTGTGAATCGGTCCGTAGGCCAACCTCTTCATCCCCGCATCGTGGAGAATAGATGTCGGCAAATCCAGTTCTGTTGGTGGCCTGCCGGTGATCAGGGCGTAGTCAAGAGAAAGTCGCAGACGCATGTACTGGCGTGTGATGAATAACTCATCCCAGTACTTCGTGAGACTCTTAGAAGGTTGTGACAATGCGCCCTCTCCTCCCGATGACTGCCGACGCCCTGGTGGTTTCGAGTGCGGGCGCAGTGGAAGCTGAATTGGCGTTGATTGAACGATTTGAGTGATCATTCTACTGATATCTTCGGCGCCTTCAAACCGTTTACTACACAAGTGCATTGCTTGTGCGTGATATCTCGTTAATAGCTGGTCTTCGTCACTTTCGAGGTCCTTGGGTGCTATTCGCTCATCGATGGAACTCAGCATAAGCGGATATGCAATGTAAGCAATGCTAAACAAGGTTAGTTATAGCAAGTCCATTGAGGTCTGGGCACTTACGCAGATATAGGAAGGTGTTGAGTTAAACCTTCTTGAACAATAAAACCCACTAGTTTCGTTGTTTCAGTGGTCGCATAACTTATGTCCTTGCCAATATTCCGGAGTACAGTGTCGTCAATGATGTTCACTCCTTTCTGTCGCTGCTCGATCATCATAGCCTCATGATTTCCAAGAGCAATTTGAGCAGCGCTACACTTGCCGTCAGCCAGAGACCGATATACATAAGCTGTTCCACTCACTAAGCATATATGAATACGACGCTTGATATAAGCGTCGTCGATCGGTGAGCCCCGGTGCCACTGAGAAATGGATGGAGAGCTTTGTCCGCCTCTTTCTTCCAACGGGTGAGGTTACTTTTGGCAGTCCTGATTTGAGACAGGGTCTTTTCAAAATTGTCTAATGAGTGTGTGATATCGAACGCGTTCGGACCGTAGCAAATCGAAAGAGTGTCTGTCAGAATAACTGCCAGACGACATTGGAAGTTTATGATGTTTGCTAGCTGACGCTTCGTCCTAGCGTCATACACAGCGGAACTCTCTGCTTCATCGGCAAGATCCTCGGGGATGATCGGATCTAAAGTGACATTAAAGCTTGAAGGTGTTATCTGTAGAGGCTTTCGAAGACCGAGGGTCAAAACTCTGTCTCTCCAGAATAGAGACCACCAAAGTCTCTTATTGCTCTTCTTGCGCGATATACTTGAACCGGGAGCTTGGAAATTGTGAGCTTGGGCTACGATGGCATTCTGAATAGCGATAGCAAGCCAGGTGCTTCCTGCGTGCGGCTCTAGAGCTGAGAACTGGAACGTCAAGAGTAAGGCTGCCTGGGATTTGGTGAATGCATCACTCTCGACTCCAAGGTCAAACAATAGCTTGGGAAGGTCAGTGGCTATACGCGACTTTTGTGATTTCACATACCTTGGCTCTTCTATAGAAGATATTCCGTGCCACCTTCACGTTTGTGTATCCGGCATTCTTGAGTACTACGGGCGATACGAACTGTGTCTTGTCAGCTCTGTCTGAAGAAAGTTGGAGGGTCCTTACCGCTGATGCTGCGAAAAGCATCGCTTGGAAAACGAGCAGGGACATAGGCTTCACTTTTCCGTCGCCACTCTCTTCTCCCAAGTACATATCCCAGAATTCTTTCTCGTCTACCAACGGATAGTAGGGATGTAGGTACAAGAAGTACTGGTTGATGAATTCTTCTTGGACTGTTCGTACAGGCAGGTGAAAGCACCGACTGAGATCGAGGAAGTCAACATCTTGTTCAGGAAGGGCTCGAAGATCCGGCAGTACTAGAAATGGCTGTGTTGTGTATAGGACTTCGGACTGAGAATATGCCGCTGATGGCCTGGGATTCGACATGACTGATCGGATCCAATCTACGAAATGATGTGAACTATGATTGAACAACGGTGTTCTCTGTGTATATTGGGAGAGGCAAGGTCCTTGGCGTACTTTTTCGTCTTGGTTTGCAGGGTTGGAATGATAGATAGTCCGCTCATCCGTAGGACCGTAACCATCGTCAACATGAGCTGAGCGTTATCGGAGTCCGGGAACCAAACTTCCGTCCCCACTTTCAGCTGCCGAGATGACTCCACTCGCTGATACGGGGTCCAGCAAGTGGTGCCTTACTGCCTCAGGCTGTAACCTAACCTAAACAGGTAAACAGCTAAAGCTCGTTAAGCTTTGCTGCTTTCCAACCTCAACTCAACGAATCTACCGCCACATGCTCAACGAAATCTGTCACGTAACAATCATTCTATTCTCTTCATCAACTGACCATCTGTTAGCTGATATTCTCATTTCGTATGTGCCTGAACTCTTCTTACGACGAAAACGATGAGAACCAGATCAAACTACTATTACGATCATTACGAGGGCCTCTTCTATGATGATGGCTTTGTCTATGAAGATCCCGACTTTCCCGGTGTCAACCATGAAGCACAGCGCGAGCTGATGTCCTATAGTGAAGGATGATTCGACGGTTATCCTACAAGGGAAGATGTTCGTGAGCGAGCCCAAAACTACTCAAAAAGCATCTTTGCAAGCTATCAACAGCTTAACAAGATACTCGAGAGACATGAGGCCACTATCCAAAGAAGATGGATGAAAAAGCCTCGCCAGCAGAGACTTCAAATTCTCCTCAAAAATTGGCCTGATATGCCTGCTAGCCATCGTCCTGATTTCGCGGCTTTCCGGCAAGAGCATGCCGTAGATCGGCACGAACATGGATCCAAGTTGAAAGACCATTTCATGTGGCCCATCGTCAACCAGGAAGACTTATCTGGGCCTAAACTTATGCTCTTGTTGCTGAATGCTAGGGGAAGACTTATTCCTCCTGCCTTTGCTGCAGTTGATTACGAGGGGCTGTGGTTTGGCAAAGCGACGAAAGGACTCCATCCTGAATTTCTTCACCACCATACTGTGATCATGCATGGCGCAACCAACGCCGAGGAATACGGAAAGCTTATTCACTGGGACTCTCACCCAGATGCCGAAGAGTGGGTGAGAAACCGAAAGCAGTTTCTCCCTGGAGATGCCCTCTTGGTTCTCGAAGTTCAGGAACGTCTCATGAAATTCCTCGTTGATTGCTGCCACCAAATTCTTCACAAGATTCCCCCAGACACCATGATTAGCGAAGAATACCCCATCCAACCTGAACCAACATTGAAGACGGACAGCGACGCGTCTGGGTTTGTTTCCCTGGCAGTAATCACTGCCGAGGCTCCCTACAAGCGACCAGCAGGCCTCGATTTTTCGCATCTGCTCAAGGTCCTCGAGGCTAGGACGTTAGCTGCAGAAGATCATATTTGGTCCTTGCGAGAGGACCCTGCCTACTTTTCAGAGCAGTTCCGCGAGATCCTTGACCATCGTGAAGAGATGCTTCCAGACACCAAGGGTAACCCGCATCCTGTCACTCAACCCCACCGAATCAATACCCTCTGGTCCCGAGTCCTTCTTAACATGGTTTTGAACGCCTATTCGAACCTAGAAGTCTTTTCAGTTCTGTATAATCAAGTCTTGGTTTGCATTCAACTTGAGAAATCCTCTCGCAACGATATCGATCCTGCGAAGGACTTGCCCAAGCTGTATTTTCACGCTTTGGCTTTGTTCAAGTTTTATCTAGACCAAGCAGTCATGGTTCCCTTGGAGCAACTTGAGCACTCCGAATTCGCCTCACCTCCCATTCGGAAGTTCTTCGCTCGCATGCCACCGCCAGATCCTTATACGTCAGACATGAACGTGATCCCGCGTGCTGGGCTCAAGATTACTGGAGTCGATAAAGAGATCATGTTCCTCATCCAAACATTGTGGAAGGATGACTGGGGGCTTTTTATAGCGCGCTTGCCGCTCGTCGTTGATGAGCTCGAGCGATTGATGCAGGCAGACCCTAAAGCAGATGCACTCATATCGGCTTATGTTGCCAAGATACTAGGTGATATTGCCATTATAGCACAGTGTCTGAAGCAGTTGGAACTGTACCAGCCATGGGCCGCCCAGTTTGACCAGGTTATTCAATCTAAAATTGATACATACCGAGATATTTGGAATGAGCTGGTGCCTAATTTCGGGCAATTGTATGATGCTTTCCTGAAGAAAGAATTCGATGAAGTAGCAAGGTTCGCAGAACCTTCGGATGGAAAGTTTACCTATCCTTATAGCAAGCGCCGTACCAAAGAGACGGTAGATACCATGCGCCGAGCTGAAGCTAACCTGGACATAATCTGGACCAAGATCGACCAGATCACTCAAAAGAATGTCACAGACTTTAAGGAAACTGCTCTTTACACGCTGCTTTCCCGACCGCGAACCCTGCGAAGGACGCCTGAGTGGGTTGAGCCTATAAAGACCGACTCCAAGGCTGAGTCTATTACGAATCGAGATCTATGGGAGCTCAACAAACCTCTTTCTAGACTATTTCTGGACGAACCTGCGCAAGAACCAAAGAAGTTTAAACCAGAAGTCAAGTCAAAAACCAAGGTTAAGACCAAACGTGACCCGACAGAGCCTGCCACTGCCGAGCAGGCGACCCCGCCGGCTGATGAAGCAGAACCAGCGGCTGAAGCCACCCAACCCACATTTGCTGTTGATGCCAAAGCACTCAAGGTGTTCCGTACTCTGTTCTTCGATCCTGAAGTAACATCGACTCCTGGCTTGATCCCGTGGAACGACTTCCTCTATGCCATGGCGGCGACTGGCTTTAAGATTGAAAAGCTGTATGGCTCGGTCTGGCAGTTTACTCCGACTAAGCTGGACGTTGAGCGTGGCATTCATTTCCATGAACCGCACCCCATGGGGAAGATCCCGTTTGAGACGGCTAGACGACACGGACGACGTTTGACGAGGGCATATGGATGGCATGGGGGTATGTTTATACTGAAGGAAAAGTCGTAGAAGTTTGAAATGTTAGGGTAAATATTGATTGGATTGCTGTAGGTATCTCGATCCCCGTATCTTCACATACCGGGTTTATATCTTGTCTTGTCTCGTTTCTATATACAGTGGTTGGGAATGTGGGGTGTTTACCAGGCCCCCTTTCTTGAGCATCAAGTTAAGTTTGTGAGATGCAGTCAAGTTCAAAGTTGGGAAGCAAACCAGAATAATTGCTAAAGTATCAGAAAAGAAGGTTTTGGTCTGAGTTCTGCATTGTAAAACGCACAGTCAGCTACTTCTATCGACTGCAAATAACCTATTATGAAACACTTACCATGAGAACGAGTCAGTTGAAGTCCTGATATGATGAAGAAAAGTACTCACCCTAGAGCTCCTGTCTCTGCCTGTGGAGCAGTACCAGAGCCGCTATCCAGTTAAAATAGCTCGGCTCTGTGAGCACCAATCTCTCTTTAAGGTTAGACTCAGCAGAAGCACAAGCCTATTAATAGCAGCGATAAACTCAGGGCTTTGATTGGTGCAACAAGACACGGAGATCTCCGCTACTTGCGATGAACTTTTTACCAGATGATTCACGGACTGAAAACTATCCACATGAGCGAGCATATCTTGCGACTCGGACCACACATGATGAAAACGGCAACTCATACTACGAGATGGAGCAAGCAGAATGTTTATATATGATGAAGGAGACGGCTGATGGGCACGGCCTTTTTGCCAAAGAGCTCATCAAGGCTGGGACACGCATCATTCACGAGAAGCCGATTCTGACTGTCTCGCAAGACGAGACAAAGACGAAAGCCGAGTACAGATGTGTCATTGACCAAGTTGTGAATCTGAGCGACCCAGAGAAACTGCGGTTGATGAATCTTTATCACAACGACAAAAAGCTGCGCGAATTTTCATTCCTCCAGGGTCAACCATGTCCTGGGACAGACCTCGATGCTGGCATTGTCTTGGCCAAGTTTTATACAAACGCTGCGAGCATCACATCTGGGGGTCTTGAATGCGGGCTTTTCACCATTTTCTGCCGAATGAATCACTCATGTACACCAAACATATGCTGGGTGTATGATGAGCCAACGGGGTTGATGGAAGTATATGCAGTGAGGGATATTGACAAAGACGAGGAGATCACCAACTCATACATCGAAGTCGCAGTCTCTCACCAGGCCAGGATGAAGGAGCTGTCGAATTGGGGCTTCAAATGTCAATGCACTGCCTGTGAAGGACCAGATGCTGCGAAGCACGATGAGCGAAGGCGCAGGATTGCACAGATCAAAGGGATTCTTGACATTTATCAGGATGCAGGAAAATCGGGCGATGCACCGAAGTTCGCTGAGATTCCAAAGACAGACCTGGAGGCATTGAGGCTTGGCGAAGAAAGCCTCGTCTTATTGTCGGACGAAGGGCTCATCGAGCAACTGGGGGTCATGTATGGGCTGTGCGCCAAGTTCGCCAAAGGCGCCGGGCTACGTGACCTTGCGGAGGGTTATGAGGAGATGGAGTTTGAGATTTTGGTAATAACGACCGGGGAGTATATAGATTGAGTCGGAAAGCGTTCCGAGGCATCAAGGTTAGGAAGACCATTGGTATTCGGATCTACCGAGTTTGATAGGGTTTATAGCCCGCATAATAACTCAAAAACGTGCTTAAGGCATCATCACATTGAGCGGATTTCAGTGAGGGTCTCTCCTTGGCGCTAGAGTGCAAGTATCTTTATAGTTTCAGGTCATTGCGTGTTATGTGCCATGGTCAGGATCAATTCATGACATTATCATACTATTGTAAGCTAAATACACGAGAAAAGAAGTTCTTTAGAAGGAAATCATTCTGTAGAGATTTTGGGGGACAAAATAAAAGGTGCCAACAGAATGACAACGACGAGAAAATTCAAGGAAAATGGGGAGCGTAGTCCTCTTACTGACAGCCAGGGCATGTCCAACACGCAGGATCATCCCAGATAGAGTTCATGGAAGGGTCCTTGTCAGTCTCAAGTGGTATGGGCATACCGCTCAAAGCTAGCTTATAAACCGAAAACTTGCATCGATCATCCTTGTATCCAGAACCCTTGCATCCTGGATAAGCTCGACAGATAGCAGCACAACGGCGAGGTGTAGCCTGGGCATACTCTGTATAAACTGTGATCAAGTTGGGATCATTTCCATCAACCCAGCCACCTCCCATATAAGCTTCGTAATTGCAGAGCGTACCGGCAGGAGGGTTGGCGACTGGCTTGCACTCATCACCTAGAGTGTACGCGCACATATCGGGAGGACCCTTCGGAACAGAATCAGGAACACACTCTTCGCAGTCGGTGTAGCAGCGCGTATCAAGCCAAACCTGCTTCTTCCAATCGTTCTCTTCGGCGACGAAGTTCTCCTTGAGTAAGGGAAGCTCAGAGAAGTAGCATCGATTTTCGAACTGTGAGTATCCAGCGGTCAAGCAGAGTGGGTGGCCTTGACAGATGGCTATACACTCCTCGACGCGGTCTTGGTGTGGATATGACTCGCGAGTCTCTAACCAGAAGCTTCTGCTGGTGAGCTTGTCACCCCAGGAACAGAGAACGTCTTTGGGGTAGTTGAAGCGGTCGGAGTTGCACATCTCGCCATGCGTATACTTGCATGTCTCTGTTGGGGTCGAAGATGCGGTAGTGGTTTCGGAGGTTGAAGTAGGATCTTGCGTAGTAGATGTTGCCTCTTCGGTCAATGATGTTGAGTCTTCGCTTAAGGATGTAGACTCTTCGGGCGCATCGCTTGATGTGTCTACAACAGGGCCTTGAGTAGGCGTGTGAGTTGTTTCAGGCCAAGTGGTGGTGCCTTCGATGAAGGTTGGCTCTCCGTCAACGCTGGTCTCTGGTCGAGGCGGTCGGATGCTTGTTGACTTGGTGCCCGGAGTAGGCTCCAAGCTTCCAGAGCTCGTCTGTGGGTCAGGTAGCCAATGGGTAGTATTCTGGGGAACTCTGGTGGATGGCTCCGCGATGAAAGTTGTTTCCGAGAGCACCGGAGCTTCAGTAAGGCCGGCGGTCGACGATGGTGATTCACCACAAAGCTGACAGTTGAAGCAAGCTAACTCAGACCATTCCAAGACACGGTCTGGATCTCCAGTGGTCCAACCACGAACCCTCAATGGCTCAAGGACGAAATTGCAAGGGTATCTCGGGTTGTTGTTCACAGCAAATGCGAAACATCCATCGATGTAACCACAAGTCAACGCGCACTTCTGAATGTCCATGCCTTGCATAGGATATTGCGAGAGTGGATATGCCACAATATCAGCATTGGGCTGTGAACGGTACTCGCAGAATGGCCCTGAAGGCTTCGGCCACTTCTGTCCACAAAAGCCGGGAGGGTTGTAACCATCGGGGCAGACCTCTTGAGATGGAACCTCGGGCCTGGTATAGCCTGTAGTGGTAGCAGGAGGGGGATTTGTAGCAGTAGTAGCTGGCTCAACAGTTGTTACTTGATTGGCCGGTTCACTAGTTGGAGGCTCAATAGTTGGAGTGGATGGGAGGCTGCTGGTAGTCTCCTCAGGGGTATTGTCATCCCCAAAGTCCAACTGGAACTGATCGATGTTATCAGGCGTTACTTGATTGGAGACGAAGACCGAATCCACGTAAATCAGCGCCAGCCCATTGCCGGTGCAAGACATGGAGATGCCAAAACTGGCGCTTCGAGAGTCGGCCATGACAGTAGTGAGGACTCTGTTCCATGAGACACCAACGCCACCACTAGTGAAAAGACCCATGGTATAGAACTGAGTATTGCCAAGGTAGGCATTGACGCTACACGCCTGGTTGCCTCCAGCGGTGATGACGACGTAATAGAACTGGACAGTATAGAGAATATTTCTGCTTGGAGCAAGGTTGGTTAGAAATTGTGAGATACTCGCTAGTCCTCCGAAAGCTCGCTTCTTTGAGTCGGAAGAAGACCCTAAGGCAACACAGCCATTGTCTGAGCTACCATCTGCCTTGTAACAGTTGCCGTTCTGTTGCTTGGCCTCACCTTCGACATCGAAGCCAAAAATGCCACTTTTTGAGTTCGGGTCTTTGATTGAGAATCGCCCGTTGGAAACGGCATTCGTGATCACGACGTTTCCCTGAGATTGTGTTGCAGTCGGCTCATCAGTCGACACGCCACTGGGTGCCTCTGTCTCCTGGCTGGCAGGAATGTTGGATGATGATGATCCAATGGGCACTCCAGAGCCTTCGGCAGACAACGTCGAGGCAATTGTGGATACTTCAGAGCCTTCGGTAGAAGACGTGAAGGCGATTGAAGACTCGATAACAGAGGTGTCAGCAGATGCCTCGTCAGTGGAAAGCGCTTTAGTGGAATGTGCTTCGGTGAAATGTGTTTCAGTGGAATGTGTTGAAATGGTCTCATCAGTCTTGGTGGATGTTGTTGTTGGACCGAGGCCATCGAGTCTACCGTCAATGCATTGTTCGGCTATCAGCCACTGTTAGTAAGGGTCGGAACAGATACATCAAAACTTACCTCTATACACGTTCAGAGATACCGGTAAGCAGCCAGATGGCTTGGATCCGAAAGTCATGTAAACCTGCCCATCAGAAGGCGTCTGGCAGAATGAAGCTCCGCCATTGGGTAGTGAGGGATTTTGGAAGCGCAGTAACCCTCCGTCAGAGCTGAAAGCTGTCGATATTGCATTATCGCTAGATGAGGACGAGGCCTGGAGTTTCTGGTATCCATCACCGAGGTACGACACCGGAACACCACCGTCGGAAAGCCGACCATTGCTCAGGGTGAAGACAGTAGCGAACGTGCAGACGTCGGGGTTGTCTTCACCAACAAAACCGCCAATGTCGCGCTTTGTGTTAGCGCCGGAAGGGCTGACAAGAAGGATGATGCGCTGTCCGGTGGTGGGCTCGAGAGTAGTCGAAGCGGATGTGCTAGAAGCAGCCGAGGACGCGAGATCGGGACCTTGGGCAGTAGATGTCGATATCAATTCGATATCTGTGGAGTTTTCAACAGGGCGCGGGAGTCCCGTTGCAATTGATACTGGAACGAGGTACGTTGAAAGGTAGGTCATGCACCACGTCCCAGGGTCTTGGTCCGCATACTGGACGTCTCTCGCATCAACGGCAGCAACACCACTGACAATGCCGCTGAGCAGCGCAAACGCTCCAATATTGCCCTTCATTCTACGTGAAAACAGCAGAGGTCGAAAGAATGGCGAGAGGAAAAAAGATTTGCTACGACACTGACTACGTATAAGAATTAGGGCAAACGAACCGAGCGCAACCAAGCCTCTCGGAGCAAGAAAACACCGGACCTTGATATAGGGTGTCAAAATAAACTCAGTAAAAGATATCCTTAACTTAGTAAAGTTATGCTAAATTTTTGTAAATTTACCTAAGCCTTTTTGTCGTTTAGGATCGAGGTCCTGAGTTTTTTTTACCTCCCCTGGCTAAGCAATGCAAAATGTTGGTGGCTGCAAAATGGTCTGCTTGTTGAAATGACAACATGCAAAGGGGTCGATAGTGACAGGCGCCATCATTCGAAATCAGGGTCTCGATTGCGATCTCTGGGTCCAGAGTCATTCTAAGGCTGAGACTATTGACCCGAATTAGTGGAAAAGCCGTTCAAAAGAATATTAGCCGCTGTCTAATCATACCCCTTGCTTGGGCGACAGACGTCTCAGCCAGCCACTTTCAACGCAAGGAATTGTCTCAACACAACAAAATGGAAAGATTCCATGATTAATAAAAGAAGAAGCGCTAGATCATAATCTCATCAACCGTTTTTAGGGGATCCTTTGACTTGATCTAATCTTTTGGCATTGCCACACGTGGAAGAGGGTCTCACTGCGCAAGGGAGAAGAAAAAGACCCACTGGGCTTATGCTTATTGACCATGCATATCTTAAATGACATTTCGGTTAGACTATGACTTTTGAGAAGCATCCGAGTTTCGGCCTTTCCAACCATTTTACTCAGCCTATCAATGGCATCTGGCCTTCCAAAAGAGACTTTCTAGAAGACATTGCCCTTGGTCTGTCTCATCTCCGAGACCTTCAGATTTCTGATAAGAGCGACCCAGATAAACGATAATGCCATAATGGCCGTTCCAGCTGCCAACATTCGCGTTTGAGCATATCCATATGCCTTCTGAATAGCGATGCGTTCAGGCGTTCCCCTCGCATAACTCAATTGCGTAGGGAGATCTCCGTAGATAGCATCGAGGTTCTCAAGCGCACTTGCAGGTAGATACATCTTCAATGCTTTCTCAAAGGTATTCGTCCAGATGGCGCCAGAAATTGTGTCGCCGATACTGCCGCCCGCTGTGCCAGTGACGCTCAGCATAGCCAACGCCGCAGCAACGTGCTGATGATCGACAGCAGCAAGAACGGCGAGCTGCATGCAAATTGTGAAGACGCTTCCGCCGACAGAGATGAAAATCTGGCACATGACCAAGTATCCCACATAGCCAGTTGGGTTTCGGAAGTAGATCATCAAGCCTTGGGCGAGGATATAAAGCGGTACGCCAGCCCAGAGGAGCCACTTGAAGTATCCAGTCTTGCGGATACCCCAACCCACGAGGAACAACAAGAAACCAGATACAACATTGAAGGTACTGTTAACGTAACCGGCCTCTGCGACTGTCAGATAGTTGACAACTTGAAGAAAAGACGTGAAGTAGTTGTTCCAGCAGTAATACGAGATCTGATACGTAAGATCGAGGAGACAAGCGCCAACGAGGGTTCGATCAGTCAAGAAGTGGAACTTGAGGAAGGGAACTGGCGCAAAGTAGACCTCGTTGAGGGCGAAACCCACGAGAAGGATGAAGCCGACGATGATCATGGCGATGATGTATCCAGTTGACCAGCCATGAGGTGCCATGGAAGCGATGGTAAACGGGAGGAGGAAGATGACCAAGCCAGTGGCGAAGAGGAATACGCCGAGAACTACAGAATAACGATGGTTAGCTTTGAGGAGACCTGTAGCTTCGTTTTGAACTTGCCGTCGAATTCAAGCGTATAGTGCCAGATGCTCTCTTTCAAGGTGCGGCCACTAGACTTCTTTGGCAGAATATTCTTCTTGGCCTTTCGCAAATTGATCTTGAGAAGAAGATACAAGGGTGCACAGACGACAGGCGTGATGAAGGCAAAGGTGCCGAAACCCCAAGGCCAACCAATGTCAGCCAGCATTCTGTCCGAAGCATAAGATCCAGCAAAGGCTGAGATCATGTAGGGCGACGATGTGAAGGCATATGCCAAGGCTCGGTTCTTTAGATTGGTAGCATCGGCGGTCATGACATCGATACTGTAAATGAGGCCCGTGAAACCGACTGAGTAAAAGACCTGCGATTACATTAGCTTCAACATCCAACATGTGATTTCCGTTACGTACATTCGCGGCGCAGTAAGTGGACAGGTCTTTGGCCGTAGCCATCAGAATCAAGCCCAGTTCACAGAATCCCACCATAAGAAGATAGCCCTCGGCTCGACCCCAAAGATCAAGTAGTTTGGCGAGGGGAATGAAGACAGCGGCCGTCATTGAGTTCGCGACAACACCAATGGTGTTGAGGAGCGAGTGCGCGGCCCAATCGCTAGTGACATACGGCAATAAGTTACCGACGGTCGAGCTTTGGAAAGCATTGAGAAGGTAGACGAGCCAGATGAAGATGAAGAGGCAGATCAGAGATGCCTTGCTCCATACGAGGGTGATGGCCTCCATGTCTTTGACACCCTCCGTGACATCCTCAGCGGGGAGGGTATCATCGGGAACAGCTGGGTGTCCATCTTCGGGATGGGTGTTCTTTTCGTGGTCTGTAGTCGTTGTGACGTCTTGGAGATCGACATCAGAGGTCTTGTTTGACCTGTTCCAGAAGCCCATTTTGGCGGTTCAAGCGTGAAAGAGAGAATTAAGCTTGAGAACTTTTAGATTTCTCGACGAGAAAAAGGGTTACATTAAAAAGAAATGACATGCTGTACCCCCCCGGCATAAATCTTCCGACACCGGTGGATCATACAACGAAAAGAACGCATCAGATAAGATCATCTTGCCCCGTTGGTTCCGACTCTGTTGGCTGCGTCCCTGTAAAACACGGCAGGATCGGCAAGCTGAGTGGGATGCTTGGCAAATAGCGATGAGGCTCGTAAAGCAAAGAGGGTCTTTTCCACGGTAAACACGGCACGGTTAGCTCCACCGCGTACGTCAGTCAGATTATCTCGGGCCAAAGGTAAAGCAGAAAGATGTGAGGCAAACTTTTAGAAAGGTAAAAACTTGTTTAATCAATCTAATCTAATCTGATTTTATTGATCAATAGAGGGCGGTATCGGGCCGGATTGTTTGAGGGCTCGGAAATAGTTACGGAATGAATATCATAGCGGCGTGGAGGGTCCACGGGGATATCACAGCGCCATAGCGAATACAAAACGTGTCATTTATACTCTTCTAGTACCAACATTGGTTAAAATGAGTGACTCCGTAGAGTGGGTTCTCAATCGAGGGAATGTGATGGTCGTCCCGGAAATACAACGGCCCAACGAACAAACTCATGATGTCCCCTCGGCAATTTGGTCAATCGAAAAGTTGAATCCCCCATCCGCATCCGGCTTTATATCGTGCAGACAATATCTTGGAGTTTTGACGCTGCTCTGTCAGCCATGACGTTATGATTGGACATAAATGGGACTTACCTCCAGAACCAACTGCTCAAACACATATTCTTGCAGTTCTTGGTCAGCAGGGCGATGTCGCTTTCAAAGGTCTCGCCGGCAAATCGACTCGCAGCGTCATCAGAAGCTTTGTTCACCCTGTCAATCTCAACTTGAAGCCTTTCGAGTGATGCATCAAGTCCTCGCTGCATATCGCCGTGTGCCAACAATACCACGATGTTCTCGACGAACCCTTCTCGTATCTCTTTGCGCACGCTCACCATGTCATTCGTGATCCACATAACAGCGACGGAAGCTTCATAAAGATCTTGAATCTCCTTAGATTCCATGACGTACTCAGGTAAGTTGAGTCCATTGGCGAATTCGATGTTGGCCGCCACTTGCTTCATACAGGAAGACGCATGCCGGTAGCCAAGATACTCGTCAAGAGAAGGAAGATGGGCATTTCTTCGATTGAAAGCTTCCTTTTGGTATGCTTTCAGGGTAGCAATGGCCTCCTTCGCGATTCGCTTTCGGTAACTTGGATTGTCGCTGTAAAGACGACGAACGGTCGAGGCGTACTCCCCAAATGACAGTACAGCATCGTGGTCTAGATAACGAGTCGACGGCTCAACCTCCTGGCTTGATACACCCAGGCTTCTCTCAACATAGTCTTCGCAGTCATTCAGCAGGGCCTGCAGCTTGTCGTAATCGAATTGTTCGACGATGGAATATTGATCGAGAAGGTCGTCGATGATGAACATCCAGACTTGGAAGGATGTCAAGACTTCTAGCTTTTCGCGGGAGGCGTACGGGTACCAGCCAGCTAGTTGTTCCGACAGGTTAGCTTTGGTCAGACGCGAGCGCACCGTTTCGTTGACAGCATGTCTGACAGATATGTCAGTATTCTTATCGATTTTTCTCGAAGGATATCTTCCAACGTTTCAATCAACTGGAGTATCTTGGCGTCTATGGCCTCAACGTGCGGGTTTGTGTCTCTCGGCCATCCGGCATGCATCAGAGCCAAGTCCGGGACTCTAAGGCTTTGACCTCTCAGAACGGACAATAACTCCTCTCTGGTACTGGCTTTGCCAGTCTGCGTTGATGTTGATGAAGCCATATGATCAGATGCGCGGTTGGGTTCGACTTGAAGTTGGCAGCAGGCTGGGCTAGACCTTGAGGCTACAGAGGGCAACGCGGCATTATATATTTGCGACCGTTACATTGCATAGACTAACAATCAAAGATATTGAGACTACTGTACAACTTTGATTAGAAATCTGGACTACTGACTGTCGTGCCTATCAAGACAATTGGTGCGATCGTGGAAAGCTAGAGGCACACTGATTAGCAATTATTTAGTGCGACGTTTGACAATTACAAGAGCAATTAGCAATCCTTACGTACATGAGCGGTCAGGCACGCCTAGCTCAATTAGCTTGCCCAACTGGCTCAGCACAAGCATGGGAGGATCCTCGGTAGGAAGCTTAGTTTTCAGCTCCAGGGGTTTAGGGTAGTCGATAATAGGAGTTGGCTTCCAGGCAGATAAGATAAGATAAGATAAGGCTGTGAGAAGCAATTGTGTGTTGGTTGTCCGAAAGTCAAGCCAGTCATTTCGCTATGCAAAGTGTTATGCAGTTGGTGTCCACCTCTGTCCAACCAACATCAATTTGCCTCCCCGAAGGAATGAGGGATTTCCCATCATCCTTCGCCCAATCTGTCTCATGCCTTCGCCTTGTATCCCCCACCTTGTATATCGAAACAGAAAATCTTCCAGCGTCTCAGCTGCTTGTCAAGAATCGCACATGGCTGAATCCGCCGTCCCTATCTTACACAGGTAACTGTTAATCCTCGCCATTCACATACAGATCTATGACAGAATATCTGCTTTTTTTTCTATTTAGTCTATCATATAGCACTTCCGTTTGTTTGCCTGGCAAAACTTTGCGGATCCTCTTGGAGTCGGCGGTTATGCAACTAGGATTTGCAGGATCCCTGGAGAGGATGATTGCCCGGAACGTCGGCAACTCGGGTCAGACGGCCTGCAGCATAGTCATAAGATATCTTACTTGGAAGGTGTATTTACGGGCGAATAACGCATAGAAACGGAGTACTCCAGATCTATATAAGGGCATCATCTCCTGCCTCCTTGATCTCTTTCGTCCTCATCCTATCCATCATCTATCACTCATACTCCAAAGTTCAAAAGCCACAAAACACTACTTCCCTGGATATGTGGTCCTTCACGGTATGTTCGATCGATAACACTCCTGACCAATGCCACTGACACTTCCTTAGAACACCGTCGTCAGCGTCCTCGCTTTGTCGAGCATCGTCCTGTCTGCTCCTGCTGCTGATATTGAAGCCGTATCCACCCTTGAGACTCGCAAGTCCAAGGCATGCACAAAGGGAAACTACTATACATGTGTTAACTCTTGGGCCGGGCCGTGTCAGGTTGGTTGCATGAGAGAAGGGCCAACTATTGGCAAGCAAGTGTGTGAGAACGAATGTGCATTTAATGCTTCCAAGAATTGCGAAAAGTGGTGCCACTAGAAGGGTTATGAGACAACTTTATCAAGCCGACGGCAAAGGGGGGCTTCAGGCATTACTTGCGAACTAGATGTTTTTTTTTTGCAGCAGATGCTTGTGACTAAGAGGTTATATCACCACAAAGAACTTGGCAGGTATTATGGTAGCATACAAGGCGAAGTAGGGAGCCCAAAAGATGGACACTTCGGCCGTCAGCCAGGGCCTGTCCTCGGGAAGCAAGAAAAGATCAGATCTTGATATACAGTATCAAAATAAACCCATCAAAAGGTATCCTAAACTTGATAAAGATATCCTAAATCTATACTAAGTTACCCAAGTCTTCTTATCATTCAGGATCAAGGTCCTGAGTTTTCTTTCCCCCTGGTGCCTGTTAATCAGGCATGGCCTGCATGACTGTTGGGTAATAGCGGCTGAAGCCGAGCAGGAATAGAACTAGGTACGCTCTGCCATTTTCGCTTCCGCCCTCTTGATCTTGAACACAAAAAGAAAACCTCACTTCTCTTATCAATTCTTTTTGTTACAGCCTCGCTTAACTTTGTTTGACAGACCTGCTGGGAGGCCGATTACTCCTAGTGTTCAGCATCCTATCCTCAGCAGCTGGAGTATAGACTGACAACTGAGGCTTCTGGATGTAAGTATTCCCTAGATTCGTCTGTTAATGTGCCATAACCCCCTGTTTGCCTCAAGTCTCCCCGTCTCTTTTGGAAACTTGACCGCCGCCCGCATTGCTAGTAAATTAGGTAAGTAATAAAATGGCCATGCAACCCCAACGATTCTCATCATGGAATCCAGGGAGATAATATCGAATATAGCTGAGTATAGGGAGAGAGAATTTGTGGAATGATCGGATAGCGTCACGTAATATCGGCCGCATCCTATGACTTGCCGACAATTTCTTGGCTCATACCTGATCAGGGAATTACAAGATGCCCCTTACCCGTCGGCTAAACGCGTTCAGTCTATTAAAATACATCGGGACTCGGGTAAGGGGTTGTCAAGTATAGCCGAGCATCAGATTGGATGAGAAATGCAACATGTTAATACACATGAGGTGAAGATAGACTTCCGTGCGGTTGCGGATCGACGGATGAGCGGGACGGAATTTCAATGTTACATGGCTGAGACCTGCGAAACGCCAGCAGGGTCTCTTAGCGTGAATCATTTCCCAAGAGGTCAAAACTCAAAACTTGGATTGCTAATGGTAACGTCTTCGAATCTCCTATCACTCAAAGTCAATTGTTTCAGCTCGGGACTTGGATAAGCGAACCCAATCAGTAGCAGACACGATATCTGTCAAACTGCATAATGGATAGCCGCATTTTTATCTCAGACCGGAAAGATATAATAAGTTTCCTATCTGCAACTTGCGTTCACTAAAAAGGACCGAAGATCGGGGTTATATGCACGGTCTCGGAATTTATGTAATAAGGCGTATCGCACACATCAGGGTCTGTGCCATTCCCATTGGCCAACCCACCGAGGTCGCTCCAGCGCGCGGAAAGCGATTGGTCCTACCACTTCCGCAGTGGGTACGGAACATTATCACCAAATTTTCCCTCTCTATCCGTTCCTCTACAATTGATTAGACTCGTTGGCACAGTAGATTTCCTATCTTCCGTCCGCGGGGTAATATCTGGGGAACCCCGGATGCTCACTTATCACAGCCTGCGTAATTGGTTCATCTCCTTGCTCGGCAGATGCGCTCCCGATGCCCGGGGCCAGTTTCTCAATACTGGGTCTGGGGGCGAGAGTGGGCTGAGTATGGAGCATGAGTCAAACTTTTACGTATAAAGACCTGTCCGGCTGCTGTTCTTTTTATTCTGCGAATCCTTGCTTCCAGAAACACATCATCATGAATAGTTATAACATCAATTCGGCTGCAGAGAAGGGTAATGACCCGGCTATGATTTCTTCGCAGTTGAATAAGCCCGACAATGACACCTCGTTGCATCACGATGCTGTTTTTGGTGACATTTCGGATGAGGGTCCTGACTACAGAAGCGTAAGCAGATTTTGCCATGGAAAATGGCATGATTCACAGAATTGACGAGTTTTTCCAGGTCGGACTCATCGGCACAGCTGGCTTAATGATGAAAACGCAAATCGGTCTCGGTGTCCTCTCTATTCCGGCGACATTCAACGCGCTTGGCATGATCCCCGGGATCATCTGTCTGCTAGCTGTTGGTGTTATAACGACTTGGTCCAATTGGATCGTCGGTGTCTTCAAGCTGCGCCACCGTCATGTTTACGCGATCGACGATGCGGGAGAAATGATGTTTGGAGTAGTAGGCAAGGAGTTCTTTGGCTTTGCCATGTGGATCTGTAAGTTGTGATGTCAGTCATGAATGGCGAAATGCTGATTCGGTACATAGACTGGGTCTTTGTATCCGGTGCTGGCATGCTCAGTCTCTCCATTGGCCTCAACGCTGTATCTAGCCATGGAGCCTGTACCGCTGTCTTCGTCGCTGTCGCTGCAGTGCTGGGCTTTGGTCTCTCGAGCATCAGAACCCTGGCTCGCATCAGCTGGCTGGCATGGATCGGTCTCATCAGCATCATGGTCTCCGGTGAGTTCCACATCTAACATCGAGGTTAATAACTAACATCTGCAGTGATCATGGTCACCATAGCTACAGGTGTCCAAGAGCGACCAGCAGCAGCCCCCCAAGACGGCGTCTGGGTCTCAGACTACAAACTCTTCAACAAACCCTCCTTCGTACAAGCAGCTTCAGCAATCTGCTCCCTTGTCTCAGCATTTGGCGGCACCCCAGGCTTCTTCGCCATTGTTGCTGAGATGCGACGACCCGAACAATATACAAAAGCTCTGGCTATCTGTCAGACCGTCGTGACCGTTACTTATCTCACGATCGGTTGTGTGATGTACTACTTCTGTGGATCTTATGTGTCATCGCCTGCTCTTGGCTCGGCTGGTGAGACCATCAAGAAGGCCAGTTACGGCGTCGCAATTCCAGGATTGATCGTTACGATTACTCTTGTCACTCATGTATGACTCGTATCCCCCCATTATTTTTATGTTGCTAACGAAATACAGCTGCCTAGCAAGTATATGTTTGTTCGACTGTTGAGAAACACACAGCATTTGGCTTCCAACTCCGCCATTCACTGGAGCACCTGGTTAGGCTGCACATTCATCGTGTCAATCATTGCCTACATCATCGCCAGTGCCATTCCCATCTTCTACAGCCTCATCTCCCTGATTGGAGCGCTCGTCGGTACCCTCATGTGTTTCCAGACCATGGGCTTCATGTGGTTCTACGACAATTGGGAGAAGCGCGCGATTTCGCCCAAGTGGCTATCCGCTTGTGGGTGGAGTGTGTTTGTTATTGCTTCCGGCACCTTATTGATGGTTGCTGGTACTTATGGGTCAATCGTCGATATCATCCAGGCATACAAAGCTGCTGGAGGATCAGGCGCCTGGTCATGTGCTGATAATTCCAACTCTTCTTAAGATAGATGCTGGAGTTGAACTGTTCTAATATGATGAGTCTTCAGAATATATTAATCCTTGTGTACTGCTCTATGGTCTCTTCTTCTCGTTAAACCAGACGATACAATTGCATGTACCAATTCCCTTGCGCCTTATGAAAAGCTAGGACTGAGGCCTCTTCGAACATCTCAACCTTATCACAGTACAAACCAGAACGGTAGGCAGCCAGAAGAGATATAAGATGTAACCTCACTCATATACATAAACAGAAGAAGCCAGGCAGGCTAGGATTCTAGAAGGCTCTAAAGATTGCCTTCAGAAACAATCCGTATCACCGCAAACAACAAATAAGGAAAGCTTCTAAACATTTCCTTCACAGCAATCTGTATGACCCCAAATAACAAATAAGAAAGGCAATCTGTCTGCCTAACACAGTCAACATCTTGTGCAGTCTAGCCTAGTCACGTGGTGCTTGTGTGGCCATCATGCCTCAGTATTTGTGTTCCGGCCGCGTCAACTTCTCTCAATCAACAGACATGGTCGGGCACTTATTTAACTATCATCTGACATCACGTGGAAATCAAAGACTAGGAGAAGAGCTGAAGATAATTTGAAGATCATCACAAGATTGGCCAACTCCATCGCAAGCCAACACCCGGACGATGAAGATGCCCAGTGGCGGGCCCAAACAGCGACAGCATTACTCCAGGACTTCGGTATCACATCTCAAGCCACCACAGCTGGAAGCATCAATATTATCTCCGTGCCAACTGGCAAACCCCAGCACTCAGTGAAGTTGCCGGCTAAGCTTTACCGAATGATTATTGAATACGTCAATACCTTTCGTCAACAATTCCGATCGAGAGAGCGGACTTTGGTTGCACTCTCATGTTCATGCAGAACCCTGAACACAATCGCCGAGGAATTCATTTATAAGCATCCAGGACTTCTTCAAGACTATGACAAACAGTGGAAATTCTTGTTCAGCCTCAAAATTAGGCCGACCCGGGCGAACCTTGTACGGTCCCTGCTACTTTACTGGCATCACCAAGCGGAGTGAGTGGAAAGACCGAAGACAGTTCAGGGTGGATGAGTGGCCGTTTGAAAAGAAACTCTGGGAAGGTCATATTATCGATGCCTAGAGCTCGCCCATGGTGTCCCAGCAAGATATATGACGCCAACATAAGAGTTCCTATCCAACTCGAGGTTTTGAAGAGCTACGTATACACCCTCAACAAGGACAATCTCCGATTGGAACAGCCTTTCATGGTTTTGTGGTATTCATCTAATTATTGTGTTATGGGTTTATTGATCTATCTATGGCGGAACCTTCGTTATTGATGTTGTCCTAGGTGCCAGTAAGATCAGCTATGATAGTGTGTCGAGAGCAGTCAATACCTAATAGACGAGTCCTTATGATTTTGAAAGGGCGTGATTACTACACAAGACTACCACGAGTGCCCCCGTGGCTTTGCAGGATTCTAGAGTTGTCCCCAAGTCATCGGAACTTGGTGATCTCCACGCATAGAAGACTACGTTTCGCACAGTGAATGTAATAAAACACCAAACCCTATCATTCTATATACCTCTATTGCTATACGTCTATAATATGATACAAAAAAGACACAAAACGAAACCAACTAGACGCAAATGCTGACTCGGCCTCAATGTTATAGAGAAAGATTCCAAGACTTGTGCATGATCCTTTAATCTTCCTTTCAGCTTCTTTCGATCAACATCCTGCACAGCGACATTATCCTCAATGGCCAAAACAGCTGCTGCTCCCGCACTCTGTCCCATGATCATATAGACAGGCTCCATGCGGATTGCAGACAGAGCAATATGCGTGGCGCTCATTGTCACAGGGTTGACGAAGTTGGTGGCGTCCTCCCTTTTGGGAACGATTGATCCATAAGGGACGCTGAAAGGCCCGGGATTGGGAACGTGAATCAGGCCTTCGTCATGTATTCGATCGTTGATAACGACACGTTCGACCTGATGGACGTCAAGGGTATAGTAACCGACTGCAACGACAGTGTCGTTATCATACGGCTTTGGGTGCTGAATGTCGGCTTGTGTCATCGTATACACGCCGTCCATCCGTCGAGCCTCGCGAATGTATATCTCGTATGGCCAGTTTCCGTTGTCAGTCCATTCATCCTTCGCGTAGCCCCAGGCACTGGTGTTCTTTCGAATAAAGTCCGGCACATCTTTGTGGTTCGCCAAAGTCCAAAGAAGTCCTTGCGCCCAGATCTTGTGCCTCTTCGCGGCAGCTTCCCGCTCCTCGTACGAATACTCAGCATAATTGGATGTCTTGTTGTAGCTTCCGCCTATCAGGTCAGTACTGATTTGGCCAGCCGCATTGGTGTCGGTTTTGAGATTCGGCATGAGTTGTGTCGTGAAGAACGGGCCGAGATAACCAGTCTTGATATATCTGATCAAGATCTTGTAATCAGACTCGTTGTAGCCATCGGGTTTGAAGAATTCCACCTTGTTGTCATCCTCTCTCGTTAAGGATAATCGGTAGTTAAAGGCTTGAAGACGATGATCTTTCTTGCCACGCGATTCCAAGGCGGCGAACTTGGTGATCACGCGACCAACCCCGGGGAGCAGACCGCTATCAGGATCATCAGGATCATTGTATGGGTCAATGGCAGCCAGTCTCCTGGGCTCGTTGAAGTGAATACCAGCCGCCGACTCATCAAACTCCTGCTTGTCTTCGCGCCCAACGCGATATGATATGCCTGCCGTCTCCATGAGGTCGCCTTCGTAGCCAGCGTCAATAAACATCTTTCCAGAGAAAGTTGACCCGGACCGCGTTTGGAATGATTTGATGACGGTCCCATCCTTCTTGACCCCGCTGCTAGTACGAAGGATGGACTCGTTTCGAAAGACAGGAATTCCCTCATCCTTGATCCATTTCTCCAAGATCTCCTCAGCTACTTTAGGCTCAAACGTCCATTGAACCTTGTCGCCAATGGCTGGTCCAGGCTGCGCCTCGATATGTTTTGCGAGATAGTCGTCTCGTGTCTCACGCGTCCATGCGTCGTCGTTGTCGTAATATTCGTACACTTTGCCGTAAAACTCCCTGGCAATTCCACCAATGGTATTTCCATCCTTTGAGTCCGTCCAGCCCAAGCCCGAAGTAGTAAGACCGCCGATTCGTGATGTCGGAAAGACCAAAGTGGCGGTTCTGTTCATACGAACCGTTTGAATGGCAGCAGCCAGCGCGGCAACCGTGTTGCCATAGATGATCACGTCAGATTCATGAGAAGTCGCTGATAAGACGCCAACAGTGAAAGAAGCAATGATGTAAAGACAGACGATATGTACAGATGCCATTATTGCAAGAGTGACCTGGCTGCTTCACGCAGCTCAGGCAGTAAAATCTTCAAAACAAAAAAAAACACGTAAAATAAAGGAGTGAAGAAACTAATTTGGCGCCGGGAAACGGCGCGCATTTTGACTTTGGGATGATGCCTTTGCTGACGTGCTTCTTATTTTACTTAAGTGGGGCGGATTACCGCGGACGGCGATTCCTTGATTAAGGAGTGAGGATCACAATCTACCAATCGGCTGAGTCCGATCAGCACAGTGTTCCAGTGATTGGCTCTCCAATCTATCTCCAATCTCACACCGGCTGTCTGCCAAGATAAGGCTGTCGTTATCGCTCCCAATCCTACCCAAGCAGCTGGTAGCCGATAAGGCATACATGAGGAAATGTATGCCGTTGCTACCCTGCAGTCACATTTAGCATGTATGTTTCAACGTCATTTTTGACAGCTTGGACCTCATAATGTTCACATCGTGAGTTCATGATCGCCCTCCTGATCCACAATGCTATATTGGCGACAAGCGAATTGATCAGGCCCGTTATAATCTGCTAATGATTGATCCCCAATCTCCACAACAACCTCTCAAGCCCTAAAAACAGAATAACAAGCTCCGATTTGTTTCACAACTGGGATAAATTTTACAGTAATCCCTATCAGTACAGATTATAATCGGTCGTGTGTGTAAATTAATACCTGTTATGGTTAACCTTTATAGTGCACCTGACATAAGAGCGTTCTGTCATCCACGTCAGGGATCAAATTGCTGCATCATGACCTGACTCATACGACGGAGTTACACGATATAAGCATATCGGCTGTTACGCATGTTTGCTCTTGAAGAAACCAAATTTCATCAACATAATTTTAGTGCCCGCAACCTGGCAGAGGGATGGCAGATTTGTCTATACGCTGACCTAGTGAAGACGCAGAATACTATCTCATGGCAACTGATAAGAATGGGGTGTGTTTCTAGACTTGCCATAGGATGCAAAATAAACGGTCCTGCAAAAGGATAGACACCTAATAATAATTCCAAGAGACTGAAAATACTATTCAAACGGCAAGATACAAATTCTCAATGGAATACTGTCCCCATTCTTTTCATGCCCAAACAAAAATTTGTAACCCTTGCTCTCTATGCCATATATAAGTATAGTCACAGGTTAGGTCACAGCATAGAAATATTGGTAGGCTATTACTCAAGAATGAAGGAAAAGCTCATAGACAAAGAGCCAGAGGGATAATTTTGTACTGATGATGAATGAAGATCTACGGCGACTGTAAACTAATCAAGCCGTTCCAGGGTGTGAGTCGGTCGGATGAAAAACCCAGGTTCTATCATAACTCGCAATCCCCGTGTGATCTGACCTCCCGGCTCCACCCAAACCATTCCAATAACCGGGCTTGATAGAGTCTCTCTCACTGAATGAATAGTCAATAGATGTTGCACCTGAGGAGTTTCGTCTGTTGACTCACGTTGTTACCGACACCACCGCGGCATTTTTCAATGGCGCTGCAGCCCCGGTTATAGGGGTTGGCTTCAGCACCAGGATGGCAGTTCGCAGCCGAGGCGCCCCTGAGTGAGCATGGGACATTGTCGTGCTTGAAGGCGCCATATGAGATCTCACCGCTCTGAGGCTCGGCTGCAGGTGCTGCAGCAGCGAGAGCGATAAGGGACAATGTGATGATAGAGAACCTCATGCTGGCTGAGAAGAGTTGATAGATGAAGCAGTATTGTATACTGGCGAGAGGAAGAGGCTGCTGAGTGAATGAAAGAAGACTGGTTTCTGAACATGTTGGTAAGAGATGAAACGGAGATATATATACTGTAAAGTTTGCTAGCAAGAGAAGAAAATATCGGCAGTTGAAAGAACTTAGTCCATCTATACGAGGACTCATGAACCTTGAAGTTCTGGCTAGGAGCATCATGAGATTCAGATTGGCACTTCGCCCATATTACAGCTTCGGTCAAAGCCCAGAAGGGTAGGAAGCTTTGGCTCGACTGGACTAATCAAGTTACGGCCTGTTCAGGCCCCCTTTCATTCGCCACGTTGAGGAATGAGAGGGCACTTGGAAAAGGAACTTCAAGCCCAGAGACATCTGCTTTCGTTGGTATGTTTAGCAAATCTATTCGAATGTGTTGCATCTTTTATCCCAGATTCGCATAGTGAGTCTTCCACTGCTGTTCAGACTGAAAGCTTTCTGGGCTTCTTCGATAATAATGGAATAGTAAATGGTACTGTTTTCCATGAAAGCCTGGTGTCTTACAAAGGGTAGGAATTTTTCGTTCTCCCGCCCTTCAGGAGGCTCTGTTCACTTACACCCAATGTTGTATAATCGGCCCGTTATTTTAGTCGTTCGACTACGATGACCCTTGGTAACTGATCTTATTGGAGGCTGTGGCGTTGATGTACAGAAACTTTCAGAAGTTCGTACTAGGCCCCTGCAAGGTCTCCCACTCTCATTACTAGGGACCTGGGAGGAACCAAGAGACTACGGTCCCGCGGGACCTTTGTAAACTCAGCGACTAGGAATAGTCCTGGGGAATACTCTCCGCCTTATGAAACTAACTGCCGAGAAACGCTCGGATGGGGGCTATATTACAAGCTCACACGGGATGCCGGGAAGTCCATTGAATACCGTCCCAGCTCCATTGTCCACAGCTCCACGATATGCGAAGACGACTGGACTTGTTGAACAAGAATAAATCATCATCGTTTTTTACACATAAACACGCACTACTGAGCATAGTTTTGTGTAGGACTAGATAACATTAACTAATGACTTCTTGTGGCGCGATAGCAGGTCGTGAAGTCTTGCAGGCCGAAGTGAAACCACTTCGAGGTGACAGGTGCCATCAGCCACAAATATGCATAACAAAGAAGCATCAAGTACGGAACTCGGCACAGTGGCATATTCAAGGTCTTGGGACCTTGGACGTGAGCCTCTCATCTCATAAGAGAGGATGATGATTCTGTGACTAGTTCCGGGAGCATTATCCATTTAAGGCTACAGCGCGCCATGTCACTTTAGCGCTGTTTATCCCCTACCAATTTCACTAAAATGATTGACATGATAAGATTGATGATGAACCCAAGCGAGCTCTTTGAAACCCAAGATTTTGGGTATGAAAAAGTCAAGGTACAAATATTGAACTTCAGGCAATAAAGCCATATCAGGCATCTAAAAGAAGACCTGAACAACTACTCATTGAAGAATTAAAATAGCTAGTCTATCATCCTGATATGTCACAATAAGTACTCCGTAGGTTGGCAAGAAACAAGCCAACAGCGACATGAAACCACGCCATTTTACAAGATACGGCGCATAATTAAGCTTCAGCTCCCAAGCGAGCTCAACTCTAATCAACCCATCCGCACCATCCATAGCGTGGCTTGGGCTACGAGGATACCGAAGGTGCCCGTACTGCGGCTGACCTGTGGGGTTACCGAGCGGGATGCAGGGGTTGATCACGGAGGTCCGTCCCCTCATCCGACAGACTACAACCAAAACAGTCTCGTGCATGAAACGGTCTCGTTTACGGTCTCGTTTAGAGAGCATTAGTCTCGTCAGCGTCAGCAAGAACGACTACGGGTAAAGTCTTCGGTAAGAGAAGGATCATGGCTAAAGCAAACGATTGGACAGCTTCTCAAAACCCTGACGATGGGTCCTTATCTTCTACAGTCTATACGAGGTATTGGTGTTTGTCCAATTATCATTGCTGCTGATCTTTAGAAGTTTTGGGGTTTCTGGATACCGGCTACAGTGGATGGCTTCTGGAAACCTGTTGGTCTTGGTTTCTTATGGCCGACGTCGCCCCAATGTCTGAAAGTAATATGTACAAGAAATTCCGAATCTTGTCAGGACGTCTGAGCGTTCACGGCGGCCACCTTGGGCTCACGATGAGACAAATCAAAGACGTCTGGGAGAATCACGATCTCGCAGGCGCCCCAGAGCACGTCGGAGACACATTGGACGATCAAGGGTGATGCTCCTTCCACTGAGCCCTGCAGATCCATTAGGCCGCCAAGTGTACCCCGAAACAACAGGTTATTTAATCCAAAGCTCGGCAGTTGACTTATAACAAAAGTTCCACTCAGTAAGTATTACAGTCAAAGTGGGCAGCTAAAGGCCCAGAGGCCGTTCAACAGTCATAAGTCGCTCAGTTACAGATCTCCTACGACATAAATGCAGCGCCAGAAGGAATAAAAACATTCGAGTGCCCGGTCACCCTTGATGCAGTGCGGGCTTAAAGGAGACGTGTTGCTTCCTTCGAAGGGGGCTTGTCTGCTGCGACTTTGGATAAGAGCTGGGTTCTGATGACAATACTACGACCGCTCTGGTCGGTAGCAACCTCTCCCACAGTGGCATCTTCAATGCAGTCTTGTGCAGCGTTGCTTGATAATGTGACTCCAGATTCATCTGTAGGGGTTCTTCAATATAGACGCTATATCTTGGACAGCACATTAATGGTCTTTCTTTCCATTTACAGACTTGGACTACTCAGAGCTACAATAGTGAGTTTCTCCTACTGCAGTTCCACTACTGATTGAGAGGTCTAAGAGATATGCTGTTTTCGCCTCTGATGCATCCATCCGCACTGAGCTTAAAATGCGGTGACTTGGTTGTAAAAACAAGAGATACAGAGACTTACTTGGTTCTGCAGAACATCCCCCAGTAGAAAGACTTGCTACACCAAAGAAAGAATTCAGTGAATCCTGAACCATGATGTGAAAGTCCCTGGCCACATAGAACAAAATGTAACCTATTGCCGGTTGTTCACAGAGCGTGGACGGGTTTGAGACCTTTACCTATAGCTAGACCCGTTTGACTCTAATAAGTCTTAGACCTAACTTTCTTTTTAATCTCCTTGGTGAATTTTCTAAAGACAGTTAAGCCTAATATCTCCAAAGTTCAGGTTATGATCGGCAATGCTGGAAATATGAATGTGTTCCCAGCTAGGTCAATTGTCTAAACAATCTGTAATCGACTTAAAGCTTAAGAGATGTCTACTAGGCAATATAGGTCAATAGAGTTAATACAATTATATTCTGCTTGAGTTTTATTATAACTGTCAAACTGAAGTGCTTATATAACATTGCACTTAAGGCCCAATATGGAAAAAGTTAAAGCGTGTATGCGCTTCGTGTTTGGCATGTATATAAGCATTATTCTGGAGACGATATCTTAATCACATCACGTGCTACTTCTCTCCCGGTCTGGTGGTCTAGTGGTATGATTCTCGCTTAGGGAAAACCCTACAGCTCAGCTTGCGAGAGGTCCCGGGTTCAATCCCCGGCCAGACCCTTTCTTTTGCCAATCTCATGTCCAATCATTCCGAAGACATTCTTCTTTTTGCATTTCTAGACATCTTTTATGCTTCTGTAAAGTTCTATCTCAGTAGATAGAATGATGAAATAGAGCCTATATTAACAACCTGACTTATATAGTCATGAAGTTCAGTATAGCCATGCAAAGTCATGCCAATCTTCCCTTTATTAGACTCTCGCTAAGTTTTCCAGTACTTGCTAATACCACCGTCTCCTCCAGTAAATGGATCAGCGGCAGGATTCTTGATGTCCCATACTGCTTTGAAATCGTCTGCACTATCGCCTCCCTCATCCCATGTCCATGAAAATCCCCTCGGATAAGCCCCCATCATACAAAACCCCTCCAGTGGCACCTTTGCAACAGCAATCCTCGGGTTCTCTGCCGCAATTCCACGAGCGTCTCCAGTCATACACCCAAAAGATGCCGTGTTAGCGGATGGATCGTATGATTTGTGTGCAACGCCTGCTGGGATGACAAAAAGATCTCCCACGTTGACCTCGAGCTCCAATCCGCCGTCTTCATAAGCTGTTCCAGAAGTATGCTCTTGTGGATCATCGCTTAAGTCTGCAACACCCCAGCGGATGCGGCCAGGGCCGGAGACAACTACCATAACTTCGTGGGACTGGGAATGATAATGGGATCGCTGATGTTGACCGTATCTAACGACCCATTGCACGTCCCACTCATTGCCGCAAAAAGTATCGAATGCTTTGGTACGATCGACTTGACCGTCTTTGACAAAAGCATTCTTGTAATGGAGTAGTGGTTTGGGTGAATTAGGGATCAGCTTGGTTGGCTTCAAGTGGTACTGAATTGGCTCTGGCAGGTTCTCCATGGTGACGGTGAAACAATAGTACGCTCCAGGCGTTTTTTTAGACGTGAATTGGAGGATGGCAATGGAATGAAGTCGTAGCACTTGTCGTTCAATGACTCAACAGTATGATTGCTTGGGATGATGGTTACAGAATGCCCCTTTCTTATCCACCACTACTTATATCTTCCGGATGGCAAATGGGGAGAGGTTCTATTCCACAATTCTCAGTGAAAGATATCACATTGGCTTGCGTGTCAGTGGCTCACAAGGCTAACGGTTAGCTATTCCGAGAATTGCGGGGAGCTAGCGCTCGGAGTTGCTAACCGCTGATAATCGGGAACCTTAACCGTGATATCCTTAACCAAATGAAGGACAGAATACGCGACATTTGCATCTAGAACCGCGGGGTAATGCATTAGGCTTATCTCCTTTCGTATCTGCCGGTGATCTTGTGGCATGAATACTATGATAACGAGCGGCCAGACACCCACGCGTGGAGGACCCTTGACTCGGTAACTGGGCCCTTGTGTTGCTTTACCATGATTTAGCTCCATGATAAAATAAAACTGTCGCAACAGATAAGCCCTGCTCACCCATATAAACCATCAAGTCACAGTTCATGTCTTTGGACCAAATTATCTGACCTACATCCTACGCAACTCATGATGCCTAACGCTCTTGGTGACAATGGCGGCAAATTGCCGAGCTTCCTTTCTAACGGCAACTTTGCCAGCAATACCTCATTCCCAACCAAGGAAGCACATCATAACACCAGTGGGAAAGAAACATCACAGCCAACGGTCAAGCATGTTCCTAAACCCTGGGTCTCACAACGATGTACAAATCAGGCTCGTCCACTCAAGGTCATCTACATTGGTGCCGGGATTTCCGGCATCTGCGGTGCCATTGAGTTCAGAAAGAAAGTCCCTAATCTGGAGCTTGTCATCTATGAGAAGAATCCTGAGCTCGGCGGGACATGGTATGAGAATAGGTAAGTCTGTATAAATTGAGTGGCCGAAGGTCAGTGTTGACATGATCGTCTATAGATATCCTGGTTGTGCTTGTGGTGAGCATCTAATACCGAGCGCTTATTTTTCTCATTGTACTGACCAACTTTAGACGTCCCTGCACACGCATACCAGTTGACCTCCGAGTCCTCCCCTCGGTGGACTTCCTTTTTTGCCTCTGCACCTGAAATCCTTCAGTATTGGAAAGATGTTGCCACTAAATATGATATCAGGAAGCACATGAGGTTCCAACAGAAGTGTACTGGTGCTCGGTGGAGCGAGACCACCAATAAGTGGTTTGTCCAGCTCAAAGACTTGACGACAGGTCTTGAGTATGAAGACTCCGCCGATGTGCTTGTTACAGGCGAAGGCGTTTTGAATGAGTGGAAATGGCCTGATATCAATGGTATCAAGTCTTTTCAGGGCCAGCTCCTTCATAGTGCAAACTGGGATGCCAACGTTGATCTCAAGGTAAGAAGTGACGCTCAAGCATGCTTTGATGGCCGTTCACTGACAAGAAGCCATGAAACAGGATAAGTCAGTCGCTGTTATTGGAAACGGCAGTAGTGGACTCCAGATTGTCCCCGCAATACTACCTGATGTCAAGCACATGGATCACTACATACGCGGCAAATCCTGGATCGTCGGTCTCTTTGGAGATCCAGAGACGAGACAGCGTATCAAAGAAGCGGGAGGTAACTTCCAGTACTCCTCAGATGAGATTCAAAACTGGGAGACAGATCGAGAGGCATATCTGAAGTACAGACGCTCCATCGAGCACAACATCAACAAGAACTTTGGTGTTCTCTTCAGCGGGACCCCACAACAGACTAACCTTCGGCTTCTAGCTCAGGAGTCCATGAACCAAAGACTCAAGGAGAGACCTGACATCTATGAGCACCTTCAACCTGACTTCTCTCCTTATTGCAAGCGCATGTCACCTGGACCAGGATACCTTGAGGCCCTGGCATCTCCAAAGGTTGACACCATAACCTCTGGCATCACCAAGATTGATGAGACAGGAATCTTCACTGCAGATGGTCAACACCATCCGGTCGATGCAATTATCTGCGCGACGGGCTTCCAAACCTCACCCGCCAGCCGAAGCTTTCCCATTTATGGTGTTGGTGGAGTAAACTTACGTGAGCGCTTCCAAAAACGCCCAGAGACATACCTGAGCGTCTGCACAGATGGTTTCCCCAACTTCTTCCAATCAATGGGTCCCAATTCGATGCCTGGTGCAGGCAGTCTCTTGCTTGTGATCGAGAAGACAAATACCTACATCGCCAAGATCCTAGCTCGAATGGCATATGACAACATCGCGCGCATTGAGCCAAAGCGAAATATGGTTCAAGCGTTCACCGATTACTGCGATAACTTCTTCAAACAAACTGTCTTCGCAGAGGAGTGCAATTCTTGGTACAAGACATACGAGACTGGTGCTTCGCGTGAGGAGCAGAAGCGTGGACGGATCACGGCACTGTGGCCAGGTAGCAGTTTGCACTGCGTGCGGACTTTGAGTCGTCCTCGGTGGGAAGACTTTGAGTACAAGTATTGTGATGATAATGAGTTTGGGTGGTTTGGAAATGGATGGACGCTGGCGGAGAAATTTGTTACCGATGAGTTGGAGTCCTTGACGTGGTACCTAAATGACACCAATGTCATGGAGAAGATAGTGGCATAAGATACTTGGACGGGATATATGTTTATCAATAAAGGTTTAGCATGATCATGAAGTTAAAGGAGCCCATCAATCGCCGGGTTCATGCCTAAGAATGAGCTGTCTCGATTGAATTGGTCTAAGTTTAGAAGCTACATGTTATTAATTACCTTAGCTTATAAAATCTATAAAATTACTAAAAGTCTTGAAGATGTCTTGGTGGTATTCAATAAACTTAGGACAACCCAGCTGAAGCTTAGACTCATACACAGTCGGTCCGTAGCTATCCATTACGGATTCCGCGAAACCCGTTCCCAGGCTTGGGCTTGGCAAAATGACACATCCGCAACAGATAACCCTAGAAAATGATGATGCCAAGATCTATCTCGTCGATCTGTCAGATAGCGATGAGTCTGTGGCGCTGTCTTCCATAAAAGGGGGAGTGGCCCGGTGCTCGGACAGTCCGAGATACCGCAAAGCCCCACTATTTCGGTCCTCCCCTCCGTCCGGCCTCCAAGTCGATATGTATCATGACGGAATTTCAAGGCCGGTATGTCTGAGCGGCGAGTGTCCGTCGCTACGTAAGATTAAGGTTGAAATTAGTGACTCTTCGGTGTAAAAATCTGTTTCAGTCCACGTCTTGAATATGCCTCCTACTGCGACTTATAAGACAACCCAGCACAAACCATGCCATTAACTTGATATCAACAATCCTATCACCATTATTTCATTTTCAGTCACTATCTAATTACAAATTATCCAAGATTTTCTCAGAAAAATCAATCCAAATTGCTTAAGTCAAGACCGGATGAATCCTCCAAACAATTCGCGTCCTAGTGACGCCCCTTCCATGTCCTCTGCCACTTTGGGCGACAGAACACGGGACAACGACCTGTCTGATGAGCCTGAGTATGAGGAGGAAATCCATGACTTGGCACGCAGATTTACCAGTCAATCTGCTGCATCAGGTCATGGGCCATTATTCCCCTTGAGTGATGGCGGTCCTCTTGATCCGCAGAGCCCCCATTTCAACTCCAAGAAATGGGCAAAGGCTTATCTCAAGACCCGAACCGAAGCTGCTGATGGCAGTAATCCTCGCACCGCCGGCATCGCATTCAAGAACCTCAACGCGTACGGCTTTGGCCAAGCGACAGACTTTCAGAATACTCTGGCCAACATCGTCCTCAAGGCTTCGAATTTCGCCAGAAAGACTTTTGGAGACAAGGGTCAGCGCATTGACATCCTCCGTGGTATTGATGGGTACGTCGAATCTGGCGAGATGCTATGTGTTCTCGGTCCTCCGGGCTCGGGCTGCTCAACCCTGCTTCGCAGTATTGCCGGCGAGACTCACGGCTTTCATTTTGCCAACGATACAGTCTTGAACTACCAGGGTATCCGGCCTGAGCAGATGAAGAAAGCTTATCGAGGTGAAGCCATCTATACGGCTGAGGTTGATCACCATTTCCCTCATCTGACTGTCGGCGATACACTTTACTTTGCTGCTCGGTGCCGATGTCCTCCAAAGGACAAGCTTCCTCAAGGCGTCACCGCTCGAGAATATGCCGAGCATCTTCGTGATGTTATTATGGCTATGTTTGGCATCTCACATACCAAGAATACGCGAGTCGGTGATGATTACGTCCGTGGTGTCAGTGGCGGCGAACGCAAGAGAGTCACAATCGCCGAGGCTGCGCTGGGATACTCCCCTCTTCAGTGCTGGGACAACAGTACACGCGGTCTCGACAGCGCTAACGCTGTTGAGTTCTGTCGCGTCTTGCGTACTCAAGCTGATACTCTTGGTATCGCATCTTGCGTCGCAATCTACCAAGCGCCTCAGAGTGCCTATGATGTAAGTATAACCTTTGTGTTGGGAGAATCCTTTGGCTAACTTGGTACATAGCTATTTGACAAGGTCATCGTCCTGTACGAGGGCCGTCAGATCTTCTTCGGAAAGACAGACGAGGCCCAAGCCTACTTCGAGAACCTCGGCTTCATTTGCCCTGAGCAACAGACGACAGCCGACTTTCTCACGTCGATGACCAACCCAGCCGAGAGAGTAATCCGCCCAGGTGCCAACCCGCCTCGAACATCGGACGAATTCGCACGAGCCTGGCAGCAAAGCCAACAACAATCGAGGCTTATAGACGAAATAGACTACTATATGGAACAACATCCATTTGACGGACCAGATCTTCAGAAATTCTCTGAATCACGAAGGCTCGATCAAGCTGCAGCTCAGAGGGAACGATCTCCGTTCAACCTTTCCTATTTGCAGCAGTATACTATCAATCTCTGGAGAGGCTTTACTATGTTGATCGGAGACCCTAGCATCACTCTGACAATGCTCATCAGTAACCTGTTCGAGGGTCTGATTATCTCGAGCATCTTCTATAACCTCCCCTTCAACACCACGAGCTTCTTCCGTCGAACCATTTTGCTATTTTTCATCGTCCTAATCAACGCATTCGCGAGCATCCTCGAGATCATGACTCTTTATGCGAAGCGGAAAGTCGTTGAAAAACAGTCTCGATATGCTTTCTATCACCCGAGTGCCGAGGCCCTTTCGGCGATGGCAACCGATCTTCCCTACAAAATCGTCAACTCGATCCTTCTCAATTGCACGCTATACTTCATGTGCAACCTGCGCCGTGAGCCGGGCCCGTTTTTCGCATTCCTTCTACTATCATTCTCTATAACTCTTTGTATGTCAATGATGTTCCGGTTGATTGGCTCTGCAACCAAGTCCATCGCGCAGGCGCTGGCGCCGGCCTGCATCATTTTGTTGGCCTTGGTCTTGTATTCAGGATTTGCGATCCCGCCGGCTTACATGCAGAACTGGCTCGGCTGGATCCGATGGGTCAATCCTGTTTATTACGGACTAGAGAGTGTATTTTTGATCGAATTTGTCGGTCAGCAGTTTCCGTGTTCTGACTTTGTCCCTCATGGTCCTGGTTACGAGAACCTGGGTAGCGGCGAGTACGTGTGCAACGTGCCCGGATCCGTTCCCGGTCAATCGTTCGTCAAGGGAGAGGATTACTTGAAGGCCTCATTCGGGTTCGTCAACAGCAACCGATGGAGGAACTTCGGTATTATCATCGCCTGGGCCGTGTTCTTTATGGCGCTTCACCTCTGGACTACCGAGTATGTCGCTTCAGAGCGCTCAAAGGGCGAAGTCTTGGTCTTTCTTCGGGAGGCCATGCACAAGGTCTCTGGTAAGAGGGCCGGCGATGAGGAGTCGGGTGTTCTTACATCTGCAGGAAAGCACGAGGCTTCTGGTTCGTCAAGCGAGAAGGTCGAGGTCGAGAAGCAAACGTCTGTCTTCCATTGGAAGGATGTCTGCTACGACGTCAAGATCAAGAGCGAGACGCGTAGGATTTTGGATCATGTCGATGGCTGGGTCAAACCCGGAACCTTGACAGCTCTCATGGTGAGTACCTTTTATAATGCCGTAGCCTCAGGGGGCCAAGAAAACATCGGGCCTTGAGAGGATGTCAAAATAAACTCAGAAAAAGTCCCCTAAGCTTAGGCTAGATTTACCTAAGTATTTTCATCCCTTAGGGTCAAGGTCCTGAGTTTTCTTTCATCCCCTAGCCTGGCACTTCGCTTTCATTATTCAGACTTACTAACGTATTCACAGGGTGTCTCAGGTGCTGGCAAAACCACGCTTCTCGACGTCCTAGCCAGTCGAGTGACCATGGGTGTTGTTTCCGGCGATATGCTTGTTAATGGCCACTCTCGTGACTCTTCCTTCCAGAGGAAGACGGGCTATGTGACTCAACAGGATCTGCACCAGGCCAGTTCAACGGTACGAGAAGCGCTACGATTCAGTGCCATGCTTCGGCAGCCAGCCAAGTACTCCAAACAAGAACGACTGGACTATGTCGAGACTGTTCTTTCGCTCCTTGGGATGGACGCCTATGCAGATGCCATCATCGGTGTCCCAGGCGAAGGCCTCAATGTCGAACAGCGCAAGAGACTTACAATCGCGGTTGAGCTTGTCGCACGCCCACAGCTCTTGCTCTTCCTCGATGAGCCGACTTCTGGACTGGACAGTCAGACTTCCTGGTCTATCTGCGACTTGATGGAGCAATTGACCAAGAGCGGCCAAGCCATATTGTGTACTATTCATCAGCCCTCTGCTATGCTTTTCCAACGATTCGATCGACTCCTTCTCCTCGCGAAGGGAGGGAAGACTGTCTATTTTGGTCAAATCGGTCAGAATTCGCAGGTCTTGATGGACTACTTCACTCGCAATGGAGGCCCGCCCCTGCCACCCAAGGCCAACCCAGCGGAACACATGCTTGAGGTCATTGGAGCGGCACCGGGTACTCATACTGACGTCGACTGGCCTGCTGCATGGAGGAAGTCTCAAGAGTACAGGGAGGTGCAGAAGGAGCTGCAATCTCTCAAAGCGTCACACCCGTCACCGACACCTGCATCAGGCGGCGCTGACCCCTCCGAGTATAATGAGTTTGCTTCTCCTCTATCCACCCAGCTATGGGAGGTCACTAAACGTCTTTTTATTCAGTACTGGAGAAGCCCAGGTTATATGTACTCCAAGGCTATTCTTACAGTCGGCGCAGTAAGTCCTCCCATGTTCCTCTTCATTCTTTTATAGATGCTGACCTCCATTTAGTCCTTATTCATCGGCCTTTCTGTCATGGACGGCGAAAATACAGTCCGCGGTCTTCAGAATCAGATGTTTGGAGTATTCATCTTCTTGACCATCTTTTCGCAGATCGCCGAACAAATGATGCCGGCCTTTGTGGAGCAGAGGACTCTTTACGAGGCTCGTGAGCGTCCTGCAAAGACATACTCTTGGCAATCATTCATGTTTGCCAATCTGACTGTCGAAATAGTCTGGAACTCGGTAAGTCACTTAGCACTTCCTCAGACAGACCAGTTCTAACATCCCTCCTAGTTCATCGGAATCTTTGCTTTTATCTGCTGGTACTTCCCTATCGGCCTCTACCGTAACGCTGAGTACACGAATGAGGTCCATTCTCGTGGAATCACCATCTTCC